TTCTTTGTTGTTGTAATATCGCAAACGGACATGGCAGTTTCAACATTAAGGATTCCAGCTTTAAGAGAAGGGAGAAACTTTAGAAGAGGGAGATATCTTTCAAGAAGGATACGCTGAGAGCCCCCAAAAATGTGTGCTGAGGGCATGCAAACAGCTGACGTAAAGAAGAGGATTGATTAAGTCATTCATCTTAAAGTTCCAAAAGTGAGAGGGCAATGGTGAAGGCACAAACGTGGCACCGCCAGTGAACCCGCCATGAAGGTGATTAATCCGCCCCGGCCGCCAATTCCTGCGAGACGGGCATCTTAAGTTCTCAGAACAAGATCCAGGTACATTTGAAAATGGGTCACATTTTCCCCAAGCTGCCCTTCCCCTCAGTTTTTTTTCTAAAATGAAATTGCTCTATTTTTCCCTCCTTTCCCCATCTACAGAACTGAATGACTTTGGTCCCTCCCAAGGGGTCAGTGAATCAAGCGGAGAGAAAGAGAATGTAATTCAGTGACAAAGAACCAAGCCCTAGTGTGGATAGAGTGAAAGAGAGAGAGGAGGGTAGAGAGAGAACGGGGAGAGAGGAGACTTCCAGCACCCAGCGACAGTAATTAAAGAAAGGGGTGATTAGTCCACCTCTGTGTCGGCCAGCTCATGAGAAATCTATTGACTGGCCACGTTAAATCATCAATTTGGAACCATTAGGCCATGCCACATTCACAAACATGGCGGTAATGATGATGGGTTGAGCCTCTGCGGAGGCCCTCATCTCTCTTTCTCCCCCCTCTCTCTCCCTCTCCTTCTCTCCTTAACTCCTTCTCTCTCTCTCTCTCTCTCTCTCTCTCTCTCTCTCTCTCTCCTCTCTCTCTCTCTCTCTCTCTCTCTCTCTCTCTCTCTCTCTCTCTCTCTCTCCTCTCATCTCTCTCTCTCTCTCCCTCTCTCTCTCTCTCTCTCTCTCTCTCTCTCTCTCGCTCTCTCTCTCTCTCCCTCCACCTCTCTTTCTCTCTAGGGTCTAACTTGGCTTTGAAGGCCAAACATCACTGCTGATGTTGTGAATTAGGCCCATGTAATGAGTCACACGGTATTAGCTTCTTTGCCGACCCGTTGCAAAAATCAGCTATGACATGACGGACGACTTGTTAACACAACACAAGATCTGGGAGGGTGGGATGGTGAACTCACTGCACTGGTCAGGATTTTATGCAGAGTTCCCAACATAGAATTAGAAATTTAATAGGAACTTTATGGGCCCCAAGGCCTGGTGCTTAGCTGATTCACACCTCCAAGGCCTGTTGCTAAGCTGGTTCACACCTCCAAGGCCTGTTGCTTAGCTGGTTCACAACCCCAAGGCCTGTTGCTTAGCTGGTTCACACCTCCAAGGCCTGTTGCTTAGCTGGTTCACAACCACAAGGCCTGTTGCTTAGCTGGTTCACACCTCCAAAGTGTGTGTTGTTGGTGTCTCCCAATGCCAGCTCATCTCAAGTATGAGGCTGTGTCCCAAATGGCACCCTATTCCCTATGCCCAAAAGTAGTGCACTTTAATAGGGAATATGATGCCATTTAAGACTTAGCCTGAGAAAAGGAAGCCGACAGCACAAGAAGGCAGGCAGACAGGCAGGCAGGAAGGCAGACGAGGACAGATGGCTACCAGTAGCGGCTTGTTTAGTGCTCAGATAATAATGTAAATGTGCCTGTTTGTGATATGTTGTGCCAGTGACAGCTGTAGTGTGTCTTGATTTAGCATCACAGAGCGAGAGATATTGAAAATGGTCCTCCTGTATTGCACCAGTTGGAGCAGAAAGGAGCTCCTTGAATTATTCACAGCATCCAGGCTGCTTCTCAAATGGCACCCTATTCCCTATATAGTGCACTACTTTTGAACAGAGCTTTTTGGGCCCTGGTCAAAAGTAGTGCACTATATAGGGAATATGGTGCCATTTGGGACACAGCCCAAGAGAGACTGAAAGCAAACCAAATGCAGCTTGCCAACCTGACATTATTGCCTTCTCGCTTTTCTCATTAGTCTACAGGGAAGAAATAAAAAAGCATAAAGAACATCTTTCTTCCAACTTCATAGTATAACAAAGGGGACTATCAGTGGTTTAAAAACTGATCCTTGTCAATAACAAACAATAAAAAATCTAGTCCCCCAGTAAGATGCAGATGGTATAATTACAGTGGAAACTCAGGGAGGAAATTTCCTCATCATGACTTGATTTTAGAGTACTGTTTCTTTTTAAAGATATATAACTCTTGACTGGAACTCCAGGATTGCATCACCTTCATGAAATGACTTCAAATTCCAAAATGTGACCATTTATTCTCACTGTATCCGTTCAAGCTGTGAGTGATGTTTCACTCTTAACATTTTGGAAATTCAAGTAATGTCTTCATCTTCAGATTGTAAAAGATGAAAAAAATGCATTATGCAGATTTTGGTCAAGGTGAAGGTTGTTGAAGCCTTTCGGTATTTACTCTTTCACTTTTTAAATTCTTCCTAAGGTTACTTAACAGTATTCATTATTTTCCCTTTGAAAGTCGCCTTTAGCATTCTTTTGATGATTAAGCTTTCATTGGAACTACTTCAAGGCTGTAAAGTTGAATGACTCTTTGATGCGCCTTATAATATCTTATTGTGACCTTTCAACACGTATTGGCTTCTCCATTCTTTCCTCTCCCATTCTCCCCCTCTCTCTTTAAATCTCTTTGAAAACAAGTTCACTGATATTCCCTCTTATATTTATGGAGGGTTAGACGAACAACCATTCAGACTCTCATGGCTCCACGGTTCCTCAAACTGGAGGACAACTTGATCAGTTCTAGATCGGTAACACTATCAGATAAATGACAATATTTTTCCTCCTCACACACTGACCTGAACCGAGCAAGGTTGACAATGTGCGAGGAGATATGAGGAAAAAAGATAGACCAACATTGCTCATAAAGCACTCTGCCACTGTGGAACGGTATTGCTCACTGTGGAACTGTCATCCTTTCAATTGCCGTATTGTAGAAGATAAGAACGGAAGTGGTATTGGCTGCAGCACAGTCACTCTCACAACAGGCAGACGCCTCTTTTTCACTTCGGAGAATTCCATTCTACCTTCTCCGCCTCCTCTGGCCCCCCAGAAGTCAGAAGTGTTCTCTAGCTCTACGAGTCACAATGTAACTGGGCTTACAAAGGTGAAAGCGCTTGCCAGGGCTCTAATCAGTCCTCCCCCAGCTGTGAGGGATGAGTAATGAGCAAAGGGGCCAAGTCCAGGCCCTAACGAAGCCAGCTAGCTCCCTCAAACTCCATCTTCATCAAACTCTCTATCTCTTTAACTCTCCTGCTGCTGCCACCGTTTGTCTGCATGTGGTGAGCTAGCAAGCTATACCTCTCGCCTGAATTACCCCTGGGAGGGAAGAAAAATGTATGACGCTAATTACATTTTAGTCATTTAGCAGACGCTCTTATCCAGAGCGACTTACAGTTAGTGCGTGCATACATAATTTTTTATACTGGCCCCCCGTGGGAATCAAACCCACAACCCTGGCGTTGCAAACACCATGCTCTACCAACTGAGCTACATCCCTGCCAGCCATTCCATCCCCTACCCTGGACAACTTGTGCACCGCCCCATGGGTCTCCCGGTCGTGGCCGGCTACGACAGAGCCTGGATTCAAACCAGGATCTCTAGTGGCACAGCTAGCACTGCGATGCAGTGCCTTAGACCACTGCGCCACTAGGATGTACTAATGAAGTGAACACAGCGAAGGCAGTAGAGGTGGTGGAAGGTGGCGGTGGTGGTGAACAATGTATGGAATTGAGGTGGTGGTGATGATGATATGCCTTGTTTTGTATCTGTTTCAGGTAATATGTTACATGTGAAGTGCATGGTAGTGCATATTGAGCGTGTTAAGGAGTGAGGGAGAGAGCATTGACATACAGTATGCTGCGATCGCTCTCTATCTCTCTTTCTCTCGCTCTCCCTCTCTTCCTCTCTCCCTCACTCTCTTTCTTCCAAGCACTCAGGATGTGCCAGCTGCATGTTGCCTTTGATTTAGGCTTGCTCCAGATCTGCTCTCTAATGAGCTGAGTGCTCAATCAATAATTCACTGGAGTTTGAATAAAAATTGAGGGTGATCAGAGATGGTTTCAAACAAGAATGTAATCAGTGCCATTCACCAGCTTGGATTCGGCCAAGCTCTTCCCAACTAGCTACCCTCTTTCCTTCTGCCTTCCTTTCTTTCTTTTGTTCCCTTTTTCTCCTGCATGAAAGGAGGCAGACTATGGTTTCTGCTTCCTCTTTTGCCTCAATACGTAATCGCTCACCTGTGGGAAGCATCAGAACCCACTGGGCACAGACGTCAATTCAATGTCTGTTACACTTTGGTTCAACATAATTTCATTGAAATTCTGAGGAAACAACATTGATTCAACCAGTGTGTGCCCAGTGGGAATAGACCAAACAAAGCAGCAGCAAGTGTGAGGATGATGATGTATAGCCTCCATGCAACACAAAGTGTAAACAAATTCTTACCAATTCATGTGTATTTGAGATGTAGGCTACTTGTTAAAAACAAATATGGCTTACAATATTTTGATCAGCACAACTATGTTGTATTTACATAATGCAGCCCACATGCTGCTCAGAAATGAAGTCTATTTTATTCTAGTTTTTTTTACCAGACTGAAACATCAGAAGTGTTAACCTGAGTTGGCATACAATGGCATAGCAATGCCTCTTAAAGGGATAGTTCATCGAAATTGCAAAACAACATATTGATTTCCATGTACACTTGCATTGGTTTTGGGCCAAAAATTCTAAGTTAGCATTTAGAGACAGTGGCCAGGTTAACTAAACAAATCATGGATTGCTGTTTTACATTGTCCACAAACTGCTTACAAGGTAAGAAAACCAATATGTCATTTAGGTGAACTACTAAGCCTTTAACTGCTCTACAACAGTACACATTTTACAGAATGCAATGCAATTTAACTAAATCCATCTTTATCGTCCCCCATAGTTCCCCCTGAAGACCCTGTGATTGTGGGGGCCCCCGTGGTAAGCCTAAGGGCCGGCGACCCCCTCAACCTGACATGCCACGCCGACAATTCCAAGCCTGCTGCCTCGATCATCTGGATCCGCAACGGGCAGGTCCTGAATGGCGCCATGTACTCTAAGGTATGGAGGGGTTGCATTTTTGTCCCCGCCCCAGTTTTATCATTTCACTGTAGACTGGGTATGGTTTGGGCTAGTTTTGATTGATCTCTGTGCTGAACTGACTCTTTCAAAAGGACAGCTCTATTTGTATGTATTGGAGCGAATTCATGGGTAGCCCCGACCGGGACTCAAACCTGGGTCCAACGACTACCAACGGAACAGCTTAGCCATTACACCAAGAAATTCAAACTGGATTCAGGTCGCTACACTATCCCCTTCCTACAAAAAGAGCGCCCCACGCTTCTTTATCTCAAGTCCCTCATTCCCAGGCTTGCCTTTGATGGCCTCACAGTAGCGTCACCCCACTTCTGACACCAATGTATAGAATTCAGGGGGTTGCTCTGACCAGAACTGCAGCAAATGTCAAAGCAACCTTTCCACTTCACTGTGCTGTATGTATGTAGGTATGTACAGTGGGGAAAAAAGGTATTTAGTCAGCCACCAATTGTGCAAATTCTCCCACTTAAAAAGATGAGAGAGGCCTGTAATTTTCATCATAGGTACACGTCAACTATGACAGACAAAATGAGGAAAAAAAATCCGGAAAATCACATTGTAGGATTTTTAATGAATTTATTTGCAAATTATGGTGGAAAATAAGTATTTGGTCAATAACAAAAGTTTCTCAATACTTTGTTATATACCCTTTGTTGGCAATGACACAGGTCAAACGTTTTCTGTAAGTCTTCACAAGGTTTTCACACACTGTTGCTGGTATTTTGGCCCATTCCTCCATGCAGATCTCATCTAGAGCAGTGATGTTTTGGGGCTGTCGCTGGGCAACACAGACTTTCAACTCCCTCCAAAGATTTTCTATGGGGTTGAGATCTGGAGACTGGCTAGGCCACTCCAGGACCTTGAAATGCTTCTTACGCGAAGCCACTCCTTCTTTGCTCGGGCAGTGTGTTTGGGATCATTGTCATGCTGAAAGACCCAGCCACGTTTCATCTTCAATGCCCTTGCTGATGGAAGGAGGTTTTCACTCAAAATCTCACGATACATGGCCCCATTCATTCTTTCCTTTACACGGATCAGTTGTCCTGGTCCCTTTGCAGAAAAACAGCCCCAAAGCATGATGTTTCCACCCCCATGCTTCACAGTAGGTATGGTGTTCTTTGGATGCAACTCAGCATTCTTTGTCCTCCAAACACGACGAGTTGAGTTTTTACCAAAAAGTTATATTTTGGTTTCATCTGACCATATGACATTCTCCCAATCCTCTTCTGGATCATCCAAATGCACTCTAGCAAACTTCTGACGGGCCTGGACATGTACTGGCTTAAGCAGGGGGACATGTCTGGCACTGCAGGATTTGAGTCCCTGGCGGCGTAGTGTGTTACTGATGGTAGGCTTTGTTACTTTAGTCCCAGCTCTCTGCAGGTCATTCACTAGGTCCCCCCGTGTGGTTCTGGGATTTTTGCTCACCGTTCTTGTGATCATTTTGACCCCACGGGGTGAGATCTTGCGTGGAGCCCCAGATCGAGGGAGATTATCAGTGGTCTTGTATGTCTTCCATTTCCTAATAATTGCTCCCACAGTTGATTTCTTCAAACCAAGCTGCTTACCTATTGCAGATTCAGTCTTCCCAGCCTGGTGCAGGTCTACAATTTTGTTTCTGGTGTCATTTGACAGCTCTTTGGTCTTGGCCATAGTGGAGTTTGGAGTGTGACTGTTTGAGGTTGTGGACAGGTGTCTTTTATACTGATAACAAGTTCAAACAGGTGCCATTAATACAGGTAACGAGTGGAGGACAGAGGAGCCTCTTAAAGAAGAAGTTACAGGTCTGTGAGAGCCAGAAATCTTGCTTGTTTGTAGGTGACCAAATACTTATTTCCCACCATAATTTGCAAATAAATTCATAAAAAATCCTACAATGTGATTTTCTGGAGAAAAAAAATCTCAATTTGTCTGTCATAGTTGACGTGTACCTATGATGAAAATTACAGGCCTCTCTCATCTTTTTAAGTGGGAGAACTTGCACAATTGGTGGCTGACTAAATACTTTTTTCCCCCACTGTATTATTATACTTAAAGTACAAGACATAAATCTAGATATGTTGTACTCACTAAAGAATATAATAATAATATGAAATTAAGTTTGCATAAATAAATTGATTGTGCACTTCAAATGTGTCCTTTGGCCCTTGATAAGAGGTGTGCTCTCTCCTCTTCATATCTTCCTCTCTGCTCCTGCCTTCCATTCCTCCACACAGCTGTCCTAAAAAAGGCCTCGCTCCGTCAGTTTAATGACAGCTGAGATTTCTTATTTGATCCATAGGGCAAGATGGAGAACTCATGTTGTGCATTCAACATGACGAAAAAAGTGAAAGCATTCCATCACTCTACATTATGGATGTGTTCTTGGTCAATTTGTTCACTTTGTCAGCCCTGGGTAGGAAACTGAGAAAGTGAGAGGCGCATTTAAAGGAGCGGTCCCATGACAATCTCACAGTGTAATTTTGCTTGTTCCGGGGTGAGCCTAACCCAAACAAACCCACTGGAGAGCGCTCCCTTCACTCAATATAAGCCCATAAATTAGACAGAGGCAAGCCACTTAGACGTGTTTATTATTGTATCAGGATTTGGAGGGGCAGTGTATAGTTACTTTGTAAGTACTTAGTATCAACATCTGTATATCACATTTGATATGTATCACATAATTAAAATTTTAGTAATTTAGCAGATGCTCATATCCAGAGCGACTTACAGGATTAATTAAGGTTAAATGCTCAAGGACACATCTTTCAGTTCGGAGATTCGAATCAGCAACCTTTCAGTTACTGACCCAATGCTCTTAACCGCTAGGCTACCTGCCACCCATCATGTCATATTATTTACATGTCACATTGTTAGGATGTAAAGTATTTTTGATTCTTCTCAATCTGGTAACAGCTCCATTTAAATGCATCAGGAATGTTTTGGATACAGGGAACCAATATGTTTCATCTTTATCCAATGATGAGGCTGGGTTTTGGATTCACATACTTTGAGTCAGATCATGACTTGATGTGGCATATAAAGGCATGCAGATTGAGAAGGCAAACGATAGTGAGACGACTGGTTCCATCTGTCCAGTATGACATGCAGGTTGACGTGTATTGGGATGAGTCTTGTCCTGGAGGCAGAACTAAGTGATTTCCGCTAAATAGGCCAGCTGCAAAGTCAAAATTGGCTATATTGTGCAAATTCATGAAAACAAAAAATTTATTTAAGGTTAGGGTTAGGTATTAGGGTTATCAGTGTGGTTAGGGTTAAGGTTAGGGTTCAGGTTTAAAATCAGATCTTATGACTTTGTGGCTGTGCCAGCTAGTGACCGCTCTAAAGAGCTGCCCCCAGAACAAGATTCATGACGAAAAACCTAACCTGCATATGAAATCAGTCAATAATGTATACCACTAAACTCTATTACTATGTCATTACAAATATGTAACTACTATGCTATTACTATGTAATTCAGGGCAAGATATACATGAGATTTATGGGAAAAAATGGAACACTCCTATAGGTCATACAGTACGCATATTGCATGATGTACTGTAAACCTATTGCTCCCCACCTACTGTAGAAGGTTGTACTTGCAATGGCTGTGATATGTGGTTGTCTTATCTACCTTAGTTGCTCTAATCACTCTGGATTAGAATGCTAAATGAACACAAGGCAAGTGTAATGAAAGTAAGACATCTTGTAACGGTAATAGCTAGTGATAATCTTTGGTCTTTTATTGATTCCTCAGACACTGTTGCGGGATGGGCGAAGGGAGAGCACGGTCAGCACACTCTACCTCTCTGCCTCCAACATCGAGACAGGCCAACGGATCACATGTCGGGCCTCAAACAAGGCAGCGCCCAATGGGAAAGATGCCATCGTTACCATCGATATCCAACGTGAGTACAGCGTCCCATAGCTCACACCATGGAAGTGATCTATTCTAGGGTGTTTGGAAGGAATAGTCCCGACTGATCTAGGGTGTGATTTTTTTGGGGGGGGGATGCACTGTGTGAAAACCTACACTACATGACCAAAAGCATGTGGACGACTGCTCGTCGAACATCTCATTCCAAAATCATGGGCATCCCTTTGCTGCTATAACAGCCTCCACACTTCTGGGAAGGATTTCCACTAGATGTTGGAACATTGCTTTGTGGACTTGCTTCCATTCAGCCACAAGAGCATTAGTGATGTCGGGCACTGATGTTGGGCGATTAGGCCTGGCTCGCAGTCAGCGTTCCAATTCATCCCAAAGGTGTTCGATGGGGTTGAGGTCAGGGCTCTGTGCTGGCCAGTCAAGTTCTTCCACACCGATCTCAACAAACTATTTCTGTATGGACCTCGCTTTGTGCATTGTCATGCTGAAACAGGAAAGGACCTTCCTCAAACTGCTGCCACAAAGTTGGAAGCACAGAATCATCTAGAATGTCATTGTATGCTGTAGCATTAAGATTTCTCTTCACTGGAACTAAGGGGCTAGCCCGAACCATGAAAAACAGCCCCAGACCATTATTCCTCCGCCACCAAACTTTACAGTTGGCACTATGCATTGGGGCAGGTAGCGTTCTCCTGGCATCCACAAAACCCAGATTCGTCCGTCGGACTGCCAGATGGTGAAGCGGGATTAATCACTCCAGAGAGCGCGTTTCCACTGCTCCAGGGTCCAATGGGGGCGAGCTTTACACCACACCAGCCGACACTTGGCATTGCGCATGGTGATCTTAGGATTGTGTGCCGCTGCTCGGCCATGGAAACCCATTTCATGAAGCTCCCGACAAACAGTTCCTGTGCTGACTTTGCTTCCAGAGGCAGTTTGGAACTCTGTAGTGAGTGTTGCAACCGAGGACAGACATTTTAAGCGCTACGCGCTTCAGCACTCGGCGGTCCCGTTCTGTGAGCTTGTGTGGCCTACCACTTACGGCGGAGCCGTTGTTGCTCCTAGACGTTTCCACTTCACAATAACAGCACTTACAGTTGACATGGGCAGCTCTAGCAGGTCAGAAATTTGATGAACTGACTTCTTGGAAAGGTGGCATCCTATTGCAGTGCCACGCTGAAAGTCACTGAGCTCTTCAGTAAGGCCATTCTACTGCCAATGTTTGTCTATGGAGATTGCATGCCGGTGTGCTCGATTTTATACACCTGTCAGCAACGGGTGTGGCTGAAATAGCCAAATCCACTAATTTGAAGGGGTGTCCACATACTTTTGTATGTATAGGGTACATTATATTCATTCACAACAAACAGTTGATATCTGGATATAATGTTCTATTGATCAGTGAGAGAAAAGGCTCTTGTTTCAAAACTCATCCATTGGTCTATCTATCTGAACAATTAAATGCTCTATTTATCCTATTTCTACTGCAGAATTCTACCCCTAACATTGCACGTGCTAACCCAACATTTCCAATATTTCTTAACCTTATTTGGCTGGGTTTTCACAAACATTGTTGAAATGTGAATTCTATGAAATGCAGCACTTCCCATTCAAAGGAAAATTGGTCTGGAAGCACAATGGAAGAGATAATGCATTTGATGAAGATGAACGATGTCACGATCTTAGCCAATGAAAGTAAATGTTAGTGTTTGCCGTTTTATTCTTCCTGTGTGTGTTGCCACTGTGTGCGCTTCTCTTTTTTTCTTTCTGGCGCTCGCCCTGCCACTAATCAAAATACTATCATAAGAGATTCCTTCCGAATAGTGAAAAATGGGCCCCCTCTGTACAAAATTCAATTGTCAGATGATATTATTTGATCACAAAAACCATTTGCCATAAGTTATGCATTTCAAACAAAGGCCTTTCGCATCCCTCACAGCTCCTTCAAAGCTATTAAGTATGACTAATAAAGCAGAAAATACTATTCAAGGATCCATTACTCTTGACAGCTCCATTCTTCCTCGTACATTCTTTATATGTTTGGTGTGTCATCCAAAAGGAATCCTCTCCCCAAGCCTGGGCACGGGGAGAGGCAGAAACGAGAGCCCTAACCGATTAGCCGTTGTTGTGTGCACTGTCAGAGAGGGGCCTAATCGTTTTGTCATGCAAAACAATGGCGCCGTTTTTTCGTCTCCTTACGGCAAGTCAACTGCTGTATGAAAGCAAATGTTTGATTCTGCCCTAGCTCTTTCTGTCTGGGTAGCCTTGAGTTAGCCTGAAATAAAATACATATGTAGAATAGAAGGCAGCAGCAGCAACACTGGAGCTATAGTTGCTGTTTGTCCTTGGTAATGAACTGCAACAGCGCAGAGTTGAGGACAGGACTCCCCCAATAAAACACAAGGAAGCAATTTAGCAATGTAGAATGCCAGCCATAAGCCACAAGCCACAGGCTCCCCTGTTAGCCAGGGTGAGGGGGTGGGAACAGGTGTTGGATGAATAAGTGATGACAGCGCATGGTGAGGTGGAGAGGCCATGAGGCTCCTGGAGGTCCTTTGGGGAACCGCAGACTGCCACCAGGGGCGCCATACTGTCACAGTAGCCAGTTAATATTGATGAGAGGCAGCTGTCGGTTTGGGTGGCGGTGGCAGGTGGTGTGAGACGCACACACACAGACACATGCCCCAGAATGCATTGGGCAGAAGGCAGACAAACATTGGGGAGGTGGATTAGCACGGGGTCCGTCGAGTCGGCGACTCCAATCACGTCAGGCATTCTCTCGCGGCTCATAGGAGTGTTCTAATGGACTATTAGCATATTTCTCTAAGCTCTGTCCATTTGAATGTGTTCCTGACCAGCTGGATATCAATGATGATGCTCTATACAGTAGAAATGAGCATACAGGGTTATTTATAAGCAGTGGGAAAAAATTATTTTACAGCTCACTGTTCACCAGGTAGTTAGTTAGCAATTCTAATTGCGTTGTAATTACGCTTCTGCTTCTTTGAGAATTATTGACACAAGCGTCACTATGTATAATTTGGTACCCAATAAGTTACCACTTGTGTTGAAGTATTTGAGTTATGTACCGAAAAGTATCCATTGTTACCAAATAGTTTATGTAGTTAATACCATGGAACTAACAGTAAGTAGCAGCTAACGCCTCGAACACACTTACAGCGTCATTGCGCAAAATGTTACACAGCATTATCTAGATATGTGTGCAACAAAAGTTCAACATTCACCTTCTGCTACCATTTCTGTCAAGCCGTCTACAATTTGATGCATACGCTCGATAAATCCAACGTATGCACAGGGGTGCAACTTTCACTGGGGACGCGGGGGACATGACCACCCTACATCACCAGTAGTAGCCTACATTTACCGTTAATTCCCACATTTCTAATCAGCAACATTTGTTTGGTTATGGTCATTTCTGTTATTGCATTCAATATATTATTATTACTATCATTTACCTTTCTGATTGTGAGAAACAAGTTTTTGTATATTTCATTCCATTTACGAGATTTGTCAATTTATTAATCGTCTTTGGTTTGAAACGCTCCTGTCAATGTTGAGTAAGGATGCGCACCTGATTACGCATATAGAAGTAGGACTAGTCTACCTGGCCTGCGCGCAAATGTAGGCCTATAAATGTGCCCATTTGGGGATGTCTGATAGTATTTCTGATTGTCTTAACTCACCACCACTAATGACCTGTGAGCTTCTCAAAGTCATTTTTATTCACCTCAAACAGCAAGTAAACAAAGTCTGTTTTTAGAATAAATTGAGAATGACAATAGTTCCTCAAAGTATTTGAACAATATTTCCAGCTCTCTCCCTTTCGATAACCACTCAGCATGAAAGGGAAAAATGTAATGCTCTGATCTAGTGGAAAAATCATAAAATACCTGATTGCTTCTTATCCCTTGCACAGCTGTGTCTGTCCCGAGCTCAGTGGCTCGGAAAACTCTGAGGGCCCCGAATATTTATACAATGTTTAAAGTTTGCTAGCGCAAGTTTTGTGGCGACCCAGTTGATAGTTGATAAAATGTTTCAAGATCGTTGCAGACAGGCCATGTGTAGCCAATGTGATTTATTGGATATTTATTTTTATCAGGATATTTTCTAAATGCCGGCTGCAATGATTTTGTGTTGGCTTTATGTAGCTTATTATTACATAGTTGGCAATGGCAACAAAAGTTACTTTTAGATTTGTATACTTTTCATTTAGATTTAGATAGAATATAGATTAACCACAGACAATGATTTTGAGATACAAAGACTATTATAAATTAAATTAAACTGTTCCATGAAAATGTGCATATGATAATCATATCTGGCACACAGATTGGGAGAAATGGTAAGATAAATTGGCACTCCAAATGGAAAAGGTTACCGACCGCTGGTGTAGCCTATTACCGGCAACTTCAGGAGCATAATGGCAGAATCTGTGAAGGCCAGCAGCAGTGGGAGAAGGAGGGTCGGGGAACAGGTTTTTTTCTTAAGTCATTTGTGTGTCTTCATTATGTACATATAGCCTAGTTGATTGTATTAAAAGACATAGGATGTGTCTATAGAGGCCTATGGAAAAATAGACAATGTGAGAATGTGATTTGAAGGAGTCAGGCGCAGAAGGGTAAATCACTGAATACAGAGTTTATTCCGTAGTACACAGTTACGCTGGATAGCGTCAACAGCACAGGGCATAATACAGGCGCACTGGAACACAATACAGGCACACAGGGAGAAATAACCCCGGCAATACAAAGTACGGGTAGCTCAACCGAGCTACACTCATCTTCACATAAAACAATCACCCACAAGGACAAGGGGGCAGAGGGAACACTTATACACAGACAAATGAGGGGATATGAACCAGGTGTGTGTAATTAACAAGACAAGACAAATGGAATGATGATATATGGAGCGGCAGTGGCTAGTAAGGCGGTGACGATGAACGCCGAAGCCTGCCGAACAAGGAGGGGAGGCAGCCTCGGCAGAAGTCGTGACAGACGTTTTAAAATGTAGACCAA